TGTGTGTGTGTGTGTGTGTTTGTGTGTTTGTGTGTATGTATGTGTATGTGTGTGTGTTTGTGTGTGGTGTTGCTGGTGTGGATGTGGATGTTAGTGGTGTGGGTATAAGCATGAGTATTATGAGTGATGCATAATTATAATTGCATGTTTCAGGTCTCTACCCACCTCCACTATATTCCTAAAAGCAATGAGAAATATTGTTTCCACATGAATTGATTTGTGTGAAATTAACATTGTATTTTCCTAACGACAACAATAACCAGTAATAACATAACATCATGTGATAGTTTTTGCACGTTTTTTTGTCTTCTCAGACAGGTGCCTCAATGCGAAAGGTGTCTGGTGATTTGAAGTATGTACTAAAGTGTCCTCGGAGTACAGTTTATTGTCTGTGATTGAAAGTTTTCTTGGACTGTGTCATAATATGTATTATGGTGTAAATAAAAGAGACAATCTTTGTCAGCGGTTAAAAAAATTGTTTTATTATGTTACTATGTTTGCTAAGGGTTCAATTATTGTTGTATGTGATGCCATGGTTTGTCTTTTTGTCTGATATTTTAGCTAGTTATAGCTTTAGTCATAATGTCCTCAGCGATGATGCCTGAAGAGTTTCAAAGCTCCCCTGTGGGCGTTGATGCTAGGTGCATACAGGACGGTAAAGTCTTCAACTCTCGTAGGCTGCAGGCAAAACAAATAGCATGATGCATGTCTGCGAAGTGCTTTTAGCCGATGATTGAGTGGATCCTTGTGTTTGGCACCACTGAACATTACGAATGACGCATTAAAATGTGTCGAGCCCAAAGGAGACATTTAAACAATTAGTTCTCGGAATTCCAAAATTTAACTATATTTTTTTTAACTCTGTAGGAGAAAAGAAATACTATTTAAGGGTTACAGGGAGGGTAAGATTATATTTAAAAGATAAAAGGGAAGGAAAAAACAAACAAATCATTTCATGACTTTCCTTACAAGATCTTTTTAATTGGTGCATTTTGCATTTATAGGTGGTTTTTATAAACGCCATTTCCGTTTTCAAAAATAAGTTTCTTCTTTCATAAATTTTAAGTCAAACAAATTCTTTTGGAACGAATTATATCTGTTCCAAATGACAACATTCTAGTACAAATTTTATGCGAGATATTTAGAAAAAAAGTTGTACAGTTTTTTTGGATCACCCTGTATATTACATTCGCAGTAATTGATATTTCTGTTATGGAATGGGCATAAAGAAAATCGCTCTATTTAGTATTTTTCCACATTGTTTCATTTCAAAAGAGGTGGGTTGTTGCTGTTTTTGTTGTTGTTGTTGTTGTTGTTGTTGTTTTTGTTGTTTTTGTTGTTGTTGTTGTTGTTGTTGTTGTTGTTGCTGTAGTTAAATGTCTACCTTTCCTGCAGCGATCGTTTGGAGGGTGCCACTGGTAGTACTTCTTTTTTTTCATTCTATTGTTTCCATCTGTCTTGCTTCTTCCGTGCTGCACTCTGTTACCATTATTGTGTCGATGTGCTTCTCTTTACTCAAACTCAAACTCAAATCAAACTCAAATCGGTGGATGGTTGGCAGGTGCTCTGGTGTGGTCTGCTCCTTCTTTCCAATCAAAGACATATCGTCCATAACTCTCCTCCTTTCTGTGTTTGCTACTCTCTTGCAACATCTCTAATCTTTGGTACTTACATGACTTTATTGCATCATCTTCACTGATGGCTCTGTTCACCGTGGAATCAAATCAGGCTAGGCATACACAGCTTCTAGCCAGGGGTAACAACCCAGGAGGCATCTGGGGCAACGGGCCTCACAACATCAAGCATGTGCATGGAGATCAAGGCCATCACTGAGGCTCTGAAATGGCTTCGCACTAATGGAAACCAGCAGGCTACCTCTCTTACACACTCAATGGGTACTCTAGATAAGATCCTGGCCAGAAGCATGTACGCAGATTCGCTTAAGACAATCCAACACAGCAAAACCAGACGCTTGCAGTGGATATTCTGCCCAGGACATGCAGGAGTCCTGGGAAATGAACGAGCAGATCAGCTAGCTGGCTCCGCAAACGTAGAGGGAGTGCTTACCCTTGATCCTCCAACTGTAATAGCCCGTGGCCCTTGTCCGAGATCACCTGGCCAGCAGCCTGGAAGAGGAATCCTTCCAAAAGAGACTGACTGAGAAAGGTGAAGGCAGGGGGAGCAGCCAGCGGGACCCCATCAGACGTTACAATAACCAGCTGATGAGGGAGAGAATCTGCCTACGCGCACTGAAATGGACCCTTATGAAGAAACGAGGAAGAATGGAGAATCCCCGTCTTCTTTGGACCCCAGTTCTACATTCAAGTATTCAAGTATGGCCTTATGGCTTTGCAAGTGCCGTAAAACAACTGTTTGAAAGAACAAAAACCCAAACCTTTCATGAAGGTAAATTGATTGCTAATTGTGCTACTGTCATTGGCCAAAATAAGTAGTGTGGCCCGGGCCTGAGGGCATGCCAAAGATAACAAAAACATATTCAAGGCAAACACACTTGGACAAGATAACGAAACAGTTGAGATCTACACAGCATTTCGTGACTTCCGACACTGTTTTTAGATTACCGTCTGTGCAGCAGGCAGTTCCCAGCGTGTGTCCTTTCTAACAGCCATTGCAGTGGATGTTTATTACAGCTGTAAACATGAAGTCTTGTTTTTTTCTTTTCGTGTTGATCGTTTTTGTGGGTAAGTGAAAAGTCTTTCCCGATATGCATACGGTACCCTATACCTGTGATCGTGATTTTTCTTTAATATAAATATGAGGTAATGCATTATGCTGTATCTGAAACAGCGCACGCATACGATCTTACGCAACTGCGAAAGCCGTAGAACTTTTACAAAAACTAAATCATCTGAAATAACAGATTTTAAAAAGTTTTCTTTGATTTAGGTGTGTTTTTACCTCCTCATCGAAACTATTATTATCAATAAGGGGGCGGGCTTCAACCTTGCCTGTCAGGGCCAATTCGGGCTGAGAGGAATAGAACGTACCAGCAAAAAGATGGCGATTAATACAAATCTCTCACGAGAATCGAACTCGGGTCTGATCTTCGTGTGATGGCTAAGCGTTTAACTGCTACACTAGAAGCCGGTGCAGCCCTGCTGGACGGAGGAAAAGGACAGATAGATGCCAGATAGATTTGCGAACTCAATATTAATGCAATCCTGAAACATGCATACATGTACATGTATTATGTTTTGCTAGCTCGGTAAAATTCGACCAAGGAATAGACGTAGATCTAAGTTTTGCAAATCCACTAATACAATATGTATGTCTTGCCAATCCAATAAATATTACCCTCGAACACGCACAAAGTATGTTTTGTCATCTGAGTAAATACATGTATAAATACGACCCTGGAATGTGTACCGATACAAGTAGGCTATAACATGCTTTGTTTGTTTGTTTTTGTAAAGTGTTTTACGGCGCTCGCAACTGCATAAGGTCATATGAGCGCGCGGGACACACCTAATATTTTCAGTTGCTAAGAAATTTTGAATTTTGCCCGGGTGGGGGCCGAAGCCTACTCTTATCGATTTTAGACCACCAAGGGATCTTTAACGTGCGCAACTTGCATAACATGCTTTGCCAACTCAGTATAAATACAACAATGTAAAACAATATTGATTTCTGCTCTTTATTCCAGCCGTAGCCAGCGCTGTGCTACCGGCAGAGGGCGGTAAAACCTGCCAGCATGAATGCACACAGCACTCGGACTGCCCCCCGGACTACCAGTGCAAGGAAGTCGACTGTTCGTCCCTTTGCTCTCCCGCCTTTTTCGACTCCAGTCGTCTGTGTCTGCAGACGCCACTGTGCCGGATGTACTGCCACTGGGGATACGTGAAAGACCAAAATGGCTGTGCTCTGTGTAAATGCAATTTACCCCCTGAAGAAGAAAGATATTAATTACACTTTCGATCGGAAAGATTAGACCAAAATGTGTATTATCCTTAACCCCTTCATTGCTGAAATATTTCCATCTTCGTTTATACAGACAAGATAAAAATATTATGTTCTTTCAGGAGGCATTTAGACAAAGCCATACTATCTTCCCCCCTTATTACAAAATAAACAACAACAGCAGGCCGTTGTTAAATAATAATCTCCGAAAACTCCCCTTATAACTCAGTCCTAATATGGCTCAAAACCAGCTTTGGGGAACACAAGCGACACAGCAATGAAGAGGTTGATACGACCAAGAATAGCAACACTCTCTAAAGGAGCGAGATGGAAATTCCCAGATAATTGAAAGCCTCTCAACGGTAGACAAAACAAATACAGCAACTACGAAAATCCACTTTTTAATTAAAAATACTTATTTAGAACAACTGTGCATCGGTTTACTTTCTTACAACTAATGTTTTGACATGCTGACTACTAATAAAAACGAATGGCTGTGCCTTCTCTTGATGTTGTGTTTCCTTCTTTGTTTGTAAAATTATTATCATGTGGAACCCACATTCCCCCCTCCCTCTCTCCCCCTCTGTCTGTCTGTCTGTCTGTCTATCTGTCTGTCTGTATGTCTGTCTGTCTGTCTGTCTGCCCCCCCCCCT